AGGTTCTAGTTACTGAGCCCATTTGTTACTTAAGAAGTCGCTCATAATAAAGTATGATATTTACAAATAATGAATGATTAAGGATACTGAAAATGGGCTTTGCCCATCTTGTCCAGCCGCAAGGGGTTTGGCACACCAATGCCCCGCTCCTTCCCCCCCCCAGATCATACGGTCATGTGCAGTTCCACCCGTCACGCTAACCTTGTCCATTTTGGCACAAACAGACACTCTCAGGGAGAAAAACAGGTAACATGCGCGTAGTTTACGATTTTTTTATAAATGCGAATAGAAAGTGATAGTCAGAAGTGGAGGTAAAGCGTGAGCCATATCTGATAGCAACCGTTTGCTTGGCCCTCGTTCCTTTAACCTACGCAGCTAACATCTGCAGAATGAACCGCGCCTGGAACTCAGCTGTCAGTCAGCTCATGAGCTTTTCTAATGTAGAAAGTTCGCTCTTGTAATCGTGGTTGCTTGACCAATTATGATGCACGTCCACTGTCGTTTATAGTCCTCTATCGAGCACTGTGTAGTTTAGGCATTCCAGTTGTAATCCAGTGATCAGTAGCAGCACGGGATATGCTTAACCCGTTCTGGACTCGTCAAATTTCAGCCATTCGTGTGTGTCCATATCGTTTCCTCCATCGGCCACGATTTAGTCAGGCCGTGGGAATTTCAATAACCAATTAGAGACAATTATTGGTTATCTTACTATTGATTATTAGGTAGTCTGCTGTACACACATCGCGATCAATCAGGGGTTCACTGGTAACTTGATTATTTTGAGAAATATTTTTCTCGGTGCGCGACAAGGAGTCGAATGTGTACGGCACGCCGCCGCATTGTTAAGCCCAACTAGAGCCTAGATGTACACTGCGTCATCCGCTGCCGTATCTACTCGGGTTGGACTGCCTTCATACTTCATACCGTCCTACCTACAACCGTACCTTGTACAGATGTTCACAGATGTCGAAGGCCCGAAGATAACTTCCGTGTCCTGACGAACTGTGTCGGGCCAGGTTTTGGGTTGACACCCACTTCGGCGCTTGCAATCAGGTAAGGGTGCCGCATCGAGGGCAGTAGCACTCAGCTCGTGGGGTGGGCGATAAAGTACGTATATTAACCGCCTCGCGATCTTGCCTCAGTTAAGACAAAGTTGGTGTACTTCACTCGAATGGTGACCCTTAAGCTGTAGTAGTTACTGGCCGCATGATTGACCGATTGGCCAATAGCAGCCAACGGCAGATATAGGAGCTCAGTCACGTGACGGTTTTCGGGCTTGGCGCCAGCGATACAATCCTTACTCTGTCCATTCAGCTGAAGCGTCGCCCTTGCTTAGTATTGGATGAACAGTTATCGAGGGACATTGTACCTTTATGCTAGAGTCCTCGTAGCGTGTATCGCCTCTGTCGACGTGTTTTTAACTTCTCTCTTTTTTCATAGTTTCTCATCTAATAGGCGATTGAACTGTTGATCTTTTTTGTAGCATCATGCAGTACGACATTTTGGTGGCGTGCATCGGTACTCCATTTATTGGTACCTTGTTTGGCCCTTGGATCGTCAATAAGAACAAGGCATGGTATCACAGTCTCAAACATCCTTCCTTTACCCCGCCTGATTGGGTCTTTGGTCCGGCATGGACCATCCTGTACGGCCTCATGGGCGCCGCGTCATACCTGGTGGCCATAGAGCATGCACAGCAAGATGTCCGTCTTCCACTTGCTGTTTATGGCATCAACCTACTGTTGAACTGGTCTTGGACCCCAGTCTTCTTCGGGATGCATCGTCTTAAAACAGTACGTTGTTTGAAGCGCTTTTTCCTCTGTATGAATTTAAAACAGGCCTTAGTAGCAGGATTTATTGCATACAATAAACTTCGCGACGGTTTTTAATCTGCGACCCGTCGTTGCATAATTAAGATAACGAGTGGAAGCGTACAGACTTTTTAAATGCATAACAGCAAGGGTCAGTTCACAGAAAATAATGCTCAGATGAAAGACACTACCTTAAATCACCATAAAGGAAAGAAAAAAGGAAGGAGAGGGAGCTAACATGAACCACAGTCGTGATTGAATCTAGATAGCCGATTACCTGGGCAATTAGAGATTGACCACACGGCCTAGCTGCTTGCACAGGTCGCTCTTCTCCAAACGTATGTAGGATGTATTCAAGTAGCGTAGGATCCGGTTTGTTCGTGTCCGAACAAGTACTAGGGAAGTGGTTTTTGAGCTCGACAAAGTGTCTACTGTCTATCAGATGTTAAGTAATCGTAGACCGTGGTCCTCTGTTTTCTTGCCTGAAAAGCAAATTAGGCAGGGGTGAAGTCTCCTTCCACGCCGTAATCCCTCTTCTCCTCCTCCTCCTCCTCCTCCTCCTCCTCCCCCTTCTACTTCCGCCTCGTCTACCTTAACTCGCCAAATATTTTGAAGCATGATGTTCCCGGAGAGAACTTGAAGATGGTTATAGCTGTAA